TTTTATTTTAAATACGTAAGAACATACGTGTGTATGTATGAATATTGCAAGACACAACGACGAATCGTGTTGTGTAAACTTAAAAGGTATCACAAAAATTCAATGACGTTTTTCGTTATCACTTAAAAGAAACTGGAATTAATTTCAAAATTTTTAACATTGATTTTTAGAAAAAGCTTTATAATATTAATTTTTAGGTTTATAACATTAAAAAAAATTAAGCTCGCAGCCAGAGATCTACCATAATAATAGTACTAAGAGTTTCATGAGAGTAACTACTTTTGTCGGATATGTTCTGAATTTTATTTACAAAACGTTGTGGCGCTGTCGTTAAACACTGTACGCCATTTATATTATGTTAATTGCTTTCATGAAGTTTTAAAACTTTGTACGGCAAAGGTACATATATACCTGTAAACACTTTCATATAATATATATATTCATACATACAATACAAACATTCAATTTCAATATACAGAGCTCGAGTTAGAAGATGATCGCAACAGTACTTATAAGCTGAAGCTAGAATTACCAGAAATAGATAAAAATCTCGCACTTCTTGTATTTTCAAAAAAATTTCTTTGAGGTCGACAGTCTATTATACAAATTACAGCTATAGTTGTATGTTTGTTTTGCAAAATGGTGTTGTAAAACGAAAACAGTAATATAAAAATAAAATTAAAAAATCAATTCTTCGCATTTTACTTTTTCTTCCAAGATATCCCAAAGGCCTATTTTAAATAAAAGAAATAACTTGTAATAAATTTTATTTTATTTTTATGTTTTAAATTACAGAATAAAAGATTCACTTTCAAATTCTTCCATTAAAAAAACGAAAAAGAAAAAAAAAAATTAAAATTCTTTACTAAAATGAAAAGTACACAAGGATGCAACAAAATTAAAATTGAGAAAAATTTTATTCTCGCCTCAAGTAAAAACGGTTTCTTTTTTTTTTGTTAAAATGAAAGTAAATACTTGGAAAGCTTCGTTTTGTAAGATAAAACAAACATAAAAGCAAAAAACAAAAAAAAATTAAATAAAATCGGAGATTTTTTTATTTTTGTAATAGCTACAAAAGCATTTTCCTGTTTTGAATCCTGGTATCAAAAATAATTCAAAAAAAATAATGTCCTTTTTTTTTACTGATTATTTTTGTTGCTTCTTACATATGCTCGACTACTGTTACTATATTTACTTCAATAAAGTGAAAGTTATACTCACAATACCATGAATTCCGTGCTGGTGCGTTTCAATTGTAATTTCTTGTTTTTATTCCAGAAGTACTTTTGCACATTTTAGTTCTTTACTTAAAATTGTTACGTTTGGAAATTTTGAATATAACAATTTCTTACACTCCCATTTTAATTTTGTTTTTTTTTTGTGTATTTATTTTGTTGTTATAGCAAGTGAATTCAAAAATTTTTTGTTTTTAGTCGGAATTATATTTATAGAGGAAGAAGAGAAAATAAAAATTTGAAATGTTAAAAAAAAAAATATTTCCATGAAATTTCAAGATCATATTTTTATAATAGAAATTTTTTGTAATAAAATCCTTGTAATATGCCTTTTAGCAAAAATTTGTGAATACATATATCGTTTTCAAATTCTTACGATATCAAAAATTTTCCAAAAAAAATTAAATCGTGAACGAAAAATGAAGTGCGCATATTTTTAATAGGCGTTAAAAAAAATTGTTAGTAGAACTGCAAAAGATTTACTGTCAAATCGAGTAAGAAAGCACGGAGATTATTATTAAGATTACACTAGAGCTTTTCCTAGTAGCACTGAACTAAACTGTTTGAACTTTAATAAGATCTCTCACAGTCAGAATTGCAAACGCGAATTCAATCGTCATTTAAATAATATAAAAATATATTTCTTGGTAAGTACATAATTTAACTGTTATACTAATATAATTTTCTAATATTTTCCTATATAAATGGAGAAAAATTTCATTTTTTCATTAATACTCGTATGTACTACATACCTATATTTTGGCTCTTTAACAGTCTTAAATTTTTTTTATCTTAAATCTTCATATTTCTTCAAAATAATTAATAATTCTTTAAAAATTCATTCGAAATTTCTTTAAGAATTTCGTTCTTATTTTCATAAAAGTAAAATAAACATTATGGTTCACACCTATACAACTTTAGTACTTTAGATTAATTTCCATTGTTGGGTTATGTACATACATATAATATGTATATTATGTTATTAAATGTTAAGGCAACTAACGTGTGAAATTGAAAAAAATCACTTAAGAAACTAAATTTATGAATAGTAAAAATAGAAAAGAATAAAAAATATTTAGAAAAAAATTTTAGAAGCATAGAACTTTTCATCTTCCATTTTATTTATATGAATTAACATTTATATAATAAAATAGTATAAATAGGATACTTATATCCTTATGTATTAAGGTATATAAGTATGTATTATAAGTATGTATTAACATTATATTATATAAAATGAAATTTGTATTATTGTTATTCTTTTTTTTTCACATATTATAATTATATGAAAAGGAGCTTTTTTTTTTTTGTATATACAAAGTACGTAATGATTATGAGGATTTATTTTTCTTTTTATACTTGAATAGAATTAAATCGCCCATTGATAATGAATTAGAAAAAATATAAAAATAGAATAAAGATCTATTCATTTAAATGCATTATGTTGAATATCCTCTCTCTGTGTAAATATATACGGTATACTGTGACGATCAATTATTATATTAATCTGAAGGACATTAATACTTATATTAAATTGAAATTGTGACCACAAAAAATTTGTGTATCCTAAATGTAAATATAATAAGTTTTTATGTTAAACAATTAGAAAATGATGATGGGAAGATTCTCATTACATTTCATAGAATTACCTTCAGAATTTTACGATATTAAAAGAGGATTTATATAATACACAAAAAAAAAATGGGATTAAAAAAAACATTATGGAAATAATAACGGATTATATAATATTACTAAACAAAATTATGTTAAATTATTTTGGCAATATGCGCAAGTATTTAAGTTTTTCAGTGGAAATTATTAATTCTTTTAGATCGTTAATTTCTGGAAATTCAACTGGAAAAGTGTTGATTCATTTTAACTATCATTTTTGTATTAACAACACCTAAAAATGAATTTAATATTAATAGTACAGGCAAAACTTAACTATTTACTTAACCACATAGTAGTTTCTCTTTTATATTTCGAAAATATTTTAGCTATAAAAAACATCACCTGTCTTTATTCGCCTATACAATTCCAATTATTACTGTTTCCTGCATAAGAATATGTTGTTAATGATTTTCTTTGTATATCCCTTACGATATTCACCTATACGCATGCTAATATAGCCTGAAACGAAATTAAAGGATGACTTAGTTAATGAAAAAACAAATTGATATTTAGCCTGATTTTTCTTATTTCTGGAATTGTAATATATACATATGAAAATATGTATCTACATAATATTGTTAAATATTAAAGATAATATAAAGAATTTTAAGATACACCTACTGAAGATCAGGATGCATGAATATTTACAAACGTCGTCCTACACATATTGTTTGGTTTACTCTTTTTAAGAACATATTTGATAACTTTCTTTTTATTTTTATATTTTTTTTGAAATTTGCCTACAAATTTGCAAATTATTATTAATACATACTTATTATATTAAAATAAGAAATGCTTCTAAGAAATTATCACCTATAAAATCTTTTGAAAAGAATTCTACTTACCAGTGAACGTATTTTGTGATGGTATTTTTGCTTGATTATAAAATTAATGTAAATACCCTTAAGGAACAGAATTTCTTCTTCTATATTTTTTTTCTGCCAAAATTGTAAAAGAAATATGTATTTACGACCTTCTGCATTTGTTATTCTTTGAAAAAAATGTTAAAAATTTTGTTAAAAAAAATTGAAACATTTTTATTTTTACTTTTGGATTATATTTCAAGTAAAATTTTTTGAGGAAAACAATATTAGAAGACATTGCAAATGGAATAGGAAAACCGAGGTGCTGAAAAATTTTAAAAGACTTTTAAAAATGTCAGAATGCAAAATAAAACGCAAAATATACTAAAAAAACAAGTGAAATTACGCTTGCTGCCATGATAAAACAATTTTTTTTTTGGTTCCTGACAATATGAAAAAGAAATCATACAGGAGTTATAAAATTTTTTGCTAGAATTCGATAAGAGCGACAATAAAGTAAAAGTGAAAACATTTTTTTTAATATTGTTGCAATAATAGTTTTAACTATCCCTAGACTCGGCAAAGTTTATACCCCAAATTGACCAAATGAAGATCATTTACTTAAGAAATGCACTGTAAATTATAATACTTAAAAACTTACATGAGTATATCGAGAAAATAGTTACTTAAAAACTTAAAATTACGAAGTAACTCTTATTGCAACTTTAGAACAACTTTTATAATTTATATACATACATATACATATGTATATGCTACTGTTTTGTTTTTTTGTAATTTATAAGTTAAATTAAATAAAACTATGAATTTACAAATAAGGGCTAGTATATTTATCCGAATAAATCATTTTTAAAAATTTTAATCAAAAGAGTCATTGGAAGTTCGATTCATCAAATAATTTATGACAGTATATTTACTGATACATCATTAGCTAAAACACTGCATGTGATTATGTTTACAAGTGAAATGTATGTTTTTTTTATTAAAACTATAAATTGAACAAATTTTTTAACCAAAGAGTATTCAAATTAAAGAAACAAAAAAAAAAAATAAGCTTAAAATAATGCAATTAGTCGAAGTTTTAAATATTCCCTTATGTATTACTCTCTTTCTCTCCATTTTCATTCAATTCTTCAAGTGTAACTAATTTCATATCTTGCAATTTCCTTTTATCATTTCTCTCTCTTAATCGATTTTCAGCTTCAATTTTACTAGCCTCGCAATCGACTTTATTTTTTTCAATTATTTCATTATCTCTCTCAATATTAATTTGTATAGCATATATAAGAAATTCAATATTTTTTCGAATATTTAATGTTACAATAATACAATAAATTAATCGTTGCAATGAATTACACAATAAACAATAACTTGCACCTTGATCCATATCGAATAATGGTGGACCATCATATTGACAATCATACATAAAATAACCTTTATCAGCTAAACCAAATGCAAGACATCTTTTATCTATTTGTATTATACCATAACGATAATTTTGTTTAAAAAAATACAATATAGATTTACTTAAATTAAAATTATATGAAGTTGAACAGAATAAAATCCCATAAGTGCAACGTTTTATTCCAATATCAAAATTATATTCATTCATTTTAAAATTTTTATTTAAATATTCAATTTCGATTTCAAAATCAGATTCTTTAATATCTTTAAAACTTTCATTATGATAACGATTACCATGAATAACAATTGAATCTAATAAATGGGGATTCCATTCGGTAACACGAAATAAATGTGCAATACAACATGCTATAACATTTATAGCTAAATATTGTTTTCCATGTGATTCTTTGAAAATTATTGATTTTGGATGAATTGTTCCGAAGAGTGAATATAAATCATTTAGAATTTCAATTTCATATTCTTTCATCATATTACCTCTTTCAAATTTTGTAGGATCAAGGCATTTATTTTTACGACTCCATATTGGTATACCTGATGTTATCCATGATAATTTTTCATCTTTGAGACTCGTTAGCTCATTCATATTTTGTGATTTTGTGTTAAACGGAACGATGGGATCATTTAAGAAATTTTTATATTTTGAATTTGATTTAATTTCCCTAAATGAAATTATATCGATATAATATAAATTATAATGAGTTTCCCCAGAGTTGTCACCGTTAACTTTATTAATATGATTTTGGAAATCCTCAAAATTTGGGAATATGAACCAACTTGCTCCATTTAAATTACCATTATTTGTATGAGAATCAATTTTTTTTGTAGAATAAGGATCAAAGAAATAGAAAAATTTGTCGTAATGTAGAGCAAAAGATTTTTGATTAAATTGAAAAATTAAATATTTTCGATTGTTTAAGATATTGCAGAGTATTTTTTTGATATTTGATGTATTTTCGGATTTCTGATGAAGTAGAACAATACAAATATTAAAAATAAAGTTATCAATTTCTAAATTTTTAATAAATCGTTGTTTTTCAATATTCATTATTTTGATTTTGGATGAAAGTACTTTCGATTTATCAATAATTGTATCAATTAATTGAGGGTTCCATTCTTGTATTGGTGTAATAATTGCTTGCAGTATAGCACACACAGATGCAAAGTGACAAACGTTAACCAAATCAAGGCTATCGTCATTATCATTTTCCATTAAGGAATAATTTCCACATATTCTAAATAAATTATCAACAGATTGATGCAACTCTTTGTTGGATGCATTAAAAACTTGTTGTACATACATTGGTGGTGTTTCTTTGATATCTTCACCGGCGTGTTTCTTTAGTGGTCTTTCTTGATACTGAAAAATTTCGAAATTTTTAAAATTCAAATAAAAAAATTTTGAAAAAATAGCAAAAAGTATTAAACTTACTGAGTTGGTATCGGTCTCATTTGGAAATGAAACATGTTTGGGATTTTTTAATTTTTTGAAGGTATTTATTCTTTTTATTTCTAAGTCTTTTAGCTCTTCGACATTTTCTAACTGTTTTTGAATATAGTTCTCTTTGCAGGTTTTTCTAGCACTTTCATCTTTTATTATCATTTGCTCTTTTAATATATTAATTTGATGTGGCGGAATATTGACGTCTGGTGCAAATTTTTGATGTGGTTTAACATTTAAAAGTAAAAATTTCTCTAAACCTTTATCACATGAACCAAACGAAATTCGGTCAACGCATGATTTTAATGTATTAAATCTTAAAATACATGCTTTATTTGTTGTTCCTAATTCACAATCTTTTGGAAATGTAGTTCTAAATCCGAATTCATCGCAAGGTATACCAAAAAATAAATAATATTTATTGCGTCGTCGTATAACTGCACAGCTAAATGAATTTAATAGCAAAATGAATTTGTTGTACACAGAGAGATATTTTTCCAAAATTGTACACAAGTCCTTAATGTAAAACCATCCCAATACTTTTACTGTAGAATTGTACATGTGACACCCTATTTGAATTTCCGGAAAGTTATTGTTTATTAGGGTTGGTAATATTTCGGATTCGTAAAGAAAACTTGATTGTATTTTATCACCAATTTCCATTGCACAATTAACTGTATCTGAATTCCATGTTGAAATTTTATATTTACGCGAACAAATTATTGCACCATATGCACTCGTCAATCCACGTAATAGCATTGAATGTATTTCTTCTGAATTCTCATTACATACTGTAATTTGTTGACCACATATAATAGTAGTTCCATTTAGTAAAGGCATGAAATTTGTTGATAAATTTTCTTCATCAGAATCATATTCTTTACATAGTCTCTCACTTAGTTTAATATTATTTAAATTATTTATAACTTCGCCACGTTTAATTTTAATTTTTAAATCATTTAAAACTGATAAATCAGTAGAAAGTAATACTGCTTTAGCTTTTAGCCCGTTATCATTTAATTTTATTTCATTTTGTATTATAAAAGTATCAACAACAAATAAAATATCGGAGAGAATCGTTTCAGTTACAAATTCTGAATCAGGGGTAGCAACTCGTTCACTTTTATCTATTGATTTTATACTAAAAGATCTTTCTAAAGCTTTATCAAATTCTCTTTGCTGTAATATCATATTTTGTTTTTGTAAAAACTCAAACTCGGAACAGGCACGTCCACATGGATTAATGCTCAGATTTGATAAACATTCCAATGGTACATTAGTTCCTACATCGCCACCAGCCTTTTTTCTACTCAAATCGATCGAATGTTTTAGATTTTTTTTATTTGGGTAGAATATATTTAAATTTTCATAAAAATTACTAGCATTTCCTGATGACTTCAAATATTTATTCATTGTAAGAATATTTACTTTTTGAATAGTGCATCCATGTAAGTGAAAATAACCTTTGGTGATGATTTTCAGGGCATTCATATAAATGATTTTACACATGGATTCAAAATTAATATGAATTTGCAGAATGGCTCCACCTCTTCTGTTTTTTCCTTCAAAAGGTAGACCATTCTTATTTCGTTCCATAGGATCGAAAACATAAAAAAAGTGCTCGTTTTTGAAAATAGCCAAATATGTATTGTCAATTTGTAATATTGCTTCATTGTAATTCTGAAAATATTCAATTAGAGCTCTTCTTAAAGGATTTCGACGATATGACGAAGTATTTTCAATAAAGCCTGATTCAAGATATGGTATTAAAGTGAAATGACCACTATATGCACCAAGAACTAAATTTGATGGTAAGTCTTTGATTTGCACATTTTTTAAATTTCTTGATTTCCGTAAAGTTGAATAATATTGCTGGCCATATTGAATTAAAGCATTTATAGTTCTTGGTTGCCAATGTTGTGCTGGATCAACATAAGAGTAAAGTAAAACTATAGATGCAATTATTATTGATGCATTTTCATCATCGTAATATTTTGGTCTCTTTATACCAATCGTTCCAGTTATAACAGCATAATAACGATTTATTACACAAAATCTCTTCTTAACGTGAAATTTATTATGATCTATATGTTCTTTATTTAAAATTTCATTTACCAATCCTATTCGATATATACGGTATATAAAATTTAAATATTTGGCTGGATATTGTTTCCAACTGTGATAATATATAAGATATATTAAGCCTTCAATTGATTCAACTGTAATTAATGAGGCTTTACCTTTATCCACTTCACGGTTACATTTAAATGAACGACCATTTGGATCAAATATATAAAAAGTTTTTTCAGTTTTCTTAGCAATTAAAATGCATATATCTTTGTGCTGGAAAATAATGTTGGAATAATTTTGAAAAACTAATGTAAAAATTTTGAACAAATTTGTTGATTTATCAAACTTTCCTTCTTTCAATTTTTCAATACTAATTCCTACGTCTTTATCTTCAAAATATTCTAAAATATCAAAATCTCCTTTTGAATTCCGAAATCGTTTTAAGCAACTTCGTTTCCAATGATTTTCACCTTCACTAATGATTTTATTCATGATTTTTGTATCCCAAGTTTTTGGATGATTAGTGAATAAAGTTGCATAAGCAACATAAATTGTTGCTATTGATTTTAATCTACGATTATTTTGAGGGCAATAAATTTCACTTGAAATTACTTTATTAGCAAAAATTGATTTAATTTGTGTACCTTTTTCTAAATAATCTTTACAAGGAATGGAATAAGTTTTAGTCGGACATATATAGGGAATACTTGGTATAAAATCAAGTTCTGAATTAACAGGGATGTACTCATAATCAGGTACTTTAACAAACAAACCATTGTGAACTTGCTTTATATCATACGGCGGACCTGAATCTAAATATTTTTCTAATACCCTAGGATCATAATTATGAAACGGTAATTCTGAAGCTGTTAGAGTTTCATTTAAAAATATACCAGTTCTTGCGTTACGTAAAGCTAAAACACCTTCAATTTGATGTAATTCAGAATGATCACTTGATGTTGGACTAGCCCATAATAACTGTTGCCCATCCTGTTCAAATTTATCTTGTTCAATATCTTCTATGGTAACATTTTTATATTTTTCTAAATCTTCCAAATTAATTAAACTTTGAATTTGTATTTTAGACAACATTGCCGCGGGATTGTTTTTGGCATCATGCTTTAAATTCACTTTTCTAGTCAAATAAAAATAATCAAAAGCTTGTCGATTGTTTTTAATGTAAGACGGCGTTTTTTTAAATCTTCCATAATTCTCAAGTTCTTTCAATTCATCTGTTTTACAATTTTTATTAAAACTCACTTTTGATTGGAAAACTGGCTTGGATTTTGGTTCCGATCCACTAATTTTTGAATATTTTATTGATGGTTGAAGTCTGTTTTTAATGGAAAAATCATTTAATTCGAATTTATTTAAAAAATGTCTGTTAACAAAACATTTGTTTGAATTTTGAAATTGTTTTCCGGACTCTTCATCGAAGGTAGTACTGAAATCATCTTCGTTATCAGCAATGTATGTTGCATATTGGTGCAGGTTTTCATTATCTTCAATGTGTTGTTCCTTTTCAGAAATGGGAATAAATTTTTTACTAAAATTTTTCATTTTCAAAAATTTTGAATAATATTAATTTTTTTTTTATTAATTTTTAAAAATTTTAAATTTTTTTTTATATCTTCAATTAAATTTTGAACATTGACTAATTGAAAAGTTTTAAAATGACTAATATATAATCAAAATATTTTTGTTTTTAGTTTAATAGGAGTATATTGTGCTTTAGAAGAAACTTTCTTATTAAAAAAATGCTGGTGTTATTAACCAACGTAGATTTATTAAATTCCTTAGAGTATCTAATCTTAGGTCGGCATTATAAATAAAAAAAAATTCGTGTCAAGGCCTAATGAATTTTTTGCCGTTAGTTAGCTCATATAAAAGTAATTCATTATAATTTTTGTCTTACATAATTTGTGCCTGAATGGCCTGATTTATTTACCTTTCCATTAAAAAAGTTCGAATTATTTGAAAAACTTATTGAAATTCTATGCGTTCATAATCGTTACGAAGAGTTTACCAAATTTCTAATCAATTCCTTTCACTTCTAAAATTCTAAATTTTATTAATTTGAACATTTATTTAAATTAATCTTAATTTTTCTAATACAAAATTATCATATGTTGGATCTTCATCAATTCTGAAAGTGTTTTAGACATTGACAATTACTATTAGGGAGGTGCCATAGCATTTCGAAAATATTAAAAGGTCAACAAGAAATTTCTTGCAACATAATCCTGTTGAAAAAATTACAAAATTTCGTAAACGATTTTATACATACGGATGTAGTTTTTTTTTTGTATATCCGTAAAACGTATTATTTTTTATTGGGAATATGGTATTGCATCCATATGTTAATAATTATGCAAGTACATAAGAAGCAACTTATAAAATTTCACAATAAAATAAAAAAACAGGAAAAGTGTCAGTTGATAAATATTAAGTTATATAAGTACAATCAGTTATTTTTGTTTACTTATTTTAATATTATAATTATTATTATGAAAATAATCAGTGAATTTCAATTAAAATTAAGAAAAAAAGCCAACATACCATTCATATTAAATATTTTTATATGTACATATATCATGGTAATTATTATAAATTTTAAAAAATATAGCTACAGTTAATATTTTAATTATGTTGATTTTATCAAACGCGGTAATGTCATATTGTCAAATTAATTATAATATGGTGTGTCATAAATTAAACTTATCGCCTTATGTTATATACTATGTACATATGTATTTAAAATTTCTGACATGCTGTATGTCAGTGTCAAAAATGTTCGTTGATAACGTTTATTTATTCATACATATTTTATGTACTTTATATTTACATTTTGGATAAATATTGTTAATTTTGTTTTTATTTTGCATACACAAATTTTATAATTGATTTGCAATTTAAAATAGACAGCAAATATTTCTCACTTAAGGCAAATTGAATTTGGTAATTACCAGAAATATAGCATTATAATATAGAATATAGGCAAATATTTTGTCAGATTCTTTTGACAGGATCAAATGCAATTATGTACCAAATTAGAATTAAAATAATTAAATATTATTTAATGATTTCGTATGATTTGATTAAAATTAATGGAAGTTTGACGCGTGTAAATGTTCATTATTTTTTATTTGATTTTTGCAAATTTTGTTTAAACCATAATCTTTCTGTAGTTTCTTAGTTTCGAAACTCTAAATTAAATTACAAGTGAATTCGATATTAATTGGTAATATGAAATTAAGTTCTGTGACCACTGCATGTACCAATATGACCTTAAATGCTTATACAAATACGATTGTCTTGTAGAGTAAATTTGACAGTTTGGTATTATGTATGGCGGTTTCATTTATTTTTTTTTTTTTGTAAATTCAATTAAAACTTGATGAAAAAAATATATACATATATATGATAAATACGCTATGTTATTAAATGTACAAAAAAAAATTTTTTTTAACAGTTTGACACTTTAAAAAGTGAAAACACAGCGTAAAAAAGAATTAGCGAATTAGCAAAAATTTCACATACACACTAGTTGAGATTCAACTAATTGACAAATTGACGGATTCAACACACATAACTAGTGTATAGACTTTAATAAATATTTTATGAATGAATCAAACATTTAAATTTTACTAAAATAAAGGTTTTCCAAAGAGTTTTGTTCAAATTTTATTGTAGCATTCATTTTACAAAATATTATTTACCGACTTACTTCCAAATGTAGAATTCATGATGACTGCATTTAATTCAATAACACGGGTACAATCATTATTTTTTTTTTCTCTTTCATTTGCAAAAGTTCTCCCTAAATTTTTTTTTTTTAAATTCCAAAAAATCTTAAAAAAATAACCATATAAATTGCAAATAAAAACGCCACACTCACAAGCACCCTAGATTAATATTTACATGTAAATTATTATTGTATATTTTATGCGGCAGACCGATGTTTTAACAAATGAAATAATATGAAATTAAAACCAGTTGATGTGGAAAATATGAACACAAAAATATTTTCCGAAAAAAAACATTAAAAAAAAAAATAGCAAAATTCAAAACAACAAAAAAATGAAGAGAAAAATTTAAATTTATTTTTAGTACGTATCCTTTAAAGGACTTTAAGGTTTTTTTGTCAAAATGTTGCTATCATACAATAACTTTTCCTCTAGTATAAATTTAAAAATAATTACATAACAGTTTATCCTTTTGTTCTTTGTTTTATGTTTTTATCTGTCATCAGATAGGACAGCACACGCATTATAAAATAGAGTGTCAACATATTGTTTTTATATTGTATGTTAGTTTATAATTATGCTCATACATACTTATACATATTATGCAAGTACACTTGTTTTCTTAATATTTGTAAATACAATAACAGTAAATGAAATTATTCGGTCCTAACATACTTTTTGTAATTTCGCTATATTTACGGTATTGTTTTTATTTATAAAAGCTGAGAAAACATACGTTTAGTTAAGATAAACATATGTACATACTCGTACAATGTGTTATAAAATAAATTTTCAGTTACAAATAAAAAAATCAAGTTGTTCTATATTGTTAGATATATGTATACAGGGTGTTTCACATAAGGTGGCAAATAATTTCAAGAATAATTCTTGGATCAATTTTCAGCAAAAAATTGTATGGATGAGATGCAGATATATCCGTTTTCGAGTTACAACCTGTTGAAAAAGTAGCAGATTTTTTCCGCATATAAAAAAAAAATGGTTATAACTTCGGAACAATGTAAAGTAAAGTAACAATCGGGGCCTTGTTTTACAGATAATTTATTGTTCTTTATTTTCCATCTTTTAATCAATTTGATTTGAGAATTTTTATTTTTTTTTTTTCGGCATTTTTAAAAAGCACGAAACTTCTCGAAAATTTGTTAATCCATATACGATTTCCCTCTCTCTCATAGTTTTGCCTGTAAAACATGCGAAAAATGCATAGTTCAAACATTTCATACAAATTCCTTATTAAACAACTTAACTACAAATATTTAGTGTACGTTATGTTTGTATGAAATATAAAGCATCCTGTATAAACTTCTATGTATTAACTGAAAATGTTATACAGAAGAAAATATTCTATGATTTACGTAGACGGTATGAAAATAAACCCAGAAAAAATGAAATTAAATAAAAAATTTTAAAATGAAAAATTCTTTGAAAAAAAAAAAAAAAATCTACTAAAATTTACGTTTAATGAAAAAGCTTTGAAAATTTACGCTAAATAAAACAATATTTAAAAGACTTCGTATAGTTCATACTTACATTCATACAGAAGTCAGGAGAGTAAAGAACAAGAATAAGAATATTGTGAATTTTATTTTTTCACAATTTTCATATTTAACTTATGATGATATATAATGCGATGTTTTATAGGACTACTATGAAAATGTCGCAAAAGTACCGCCACAATGTCGGCAGACAACACTATAACGTGTAATATGTGCTTTGAATATTGATGATTTTTTCTTTTCATATTGAATAACCAAAAGAAAAATATATGTTTGAAGTTCTCATTCATAGTAATCGAGTAGAATTGTAAAAAAAATTAAATTTAGTTTTTATAGAAATTTTTAATATTTATAACATAACTATAGGCGGAACACATATTTTTTGTTCAAAATCTAAATTAATAAGGTACTCTTTCTAAGATGCTAGATTCATTGAATAGCCGATAAAATATTACCTGTGTGTCATTACAACATGTTCATCAATTTATTTTCAAATTAATAATACCATACTGTGTTTGGAAGTTAAGAATACTAATGGCAACGTACCGTTTATATAAATGACAAAATCTAATATTAAATATTTGTTGACTGTTTACTTATCAGAGTGAAATAATCAGAAATAGAGCTCAGATTTTTTTTGCTTTTAGAGAGAGATGAGACTAAATTTCTATTATTTTCTTTGAGGCAAAGTCTGATATCAAACAGTTCGACTCAGAATGAAAGTCGTATTTGTAAACATTTCATTCTAATATACAAAGTTAGATTCGTCTTTAAACTGTTGTTTAGGCGATAAATTTGCAAATATTTTTAATATGAAAAATCTTCGTTTTTACTCATTGTGCAACAATTTAATACTTATTCAGACTGATTTAATTTGTTTTACTCCTTTTCTATTACAAAAATATTTTATACAAAATTGCGTAAGTAAAAAGTATATTATGGTAAATTGACAATTTCATAAAAGTAAATCTGTTAAATAATAATGATTATACGTTTTTATGTTTTACGCCCAAATATAAAAAAAAGAAAATTGGTAATGGCGGAAAATGAATTTGCGAAAATAATGTTTTGCTATACTTAAATTCTTTTCTTCTTTAATAAATAAACGCCTGGTTATAAATGGTTAATAGAAAAGGTATTATAGTAATTTTAGAATGTTTATAATATAAAATTTTTAATATGAATTAAGATTATTACAGGACGAGAAGGATTTCATTAAGTCGGTACTCTTAGTTCCCTTTATTTGGTAAAAAAAATAATAAATAATAAAATATTTTTCTCCGGAT